GAATTTCAATTGGCTGACCTCTTTACTAAAGCCCTAGATGAGAAAAGGTTCAATTTCCTTGTTGAGAAAATAGGAATGACATGTCCAGAGTCCTAGTTGTTGGTTGTCTTATTCTTTATTCTTTATTTTTTATTGTATATAATTTTACTTTTAAATCTCTTTTTGTATATAGTTTTTTCTTTTTAAAAATTGCATTCTGTTTATAGCTTTAATTTCTTGATTAACCTTCGCTTGATTTTTTAGTTAACAGGTTTAACCTTGCAGAGACTTGCATGGTTTGAGGGGGAGTATGTGCTTAAAAATAATAAAACCTCTTGAAGAAGAATTTTTTTTTCAAAATCACAGAAGTCTTTTCACAGATCCTCTATGATCACTCTCAGAGGCTCTGTGAACTGACTCTCTGTTGATACCTCTTCTAAGGATTTTAAATGGTTTTTTATTCGAGGGGGAGCCATGGAAGCTGGCTCATAGGGGGAGTTTTGAAATGAAAATCAAACCACAGAAGGTGCCAAAACTTTTGAAGTATCTTGTTCTCAGAGGTCAACTCATCAGAACCTCTGGCGCTTCTAACAGAGCCTCTATGGGTTTGAGCTGAGCAAGTACTCATCTCTCTGTGGATTTTCAAATTGTTTAGGTAAACAAAGGTGTAACACTTTTGAATACCCATCACATATCACAGAGACTCTGTTACCCTTAGGCCTCTGACAGAACTCTCTTATAGTTCTTGTCTATTGATATGGTGCGCGTGGTTCTGTGGATAAGGGTTAAAGCATACCACGCGTGTGACATAATCGGGGGCGCACGTCATCAATAGCGCGTCTTCCCAACACAGCGTGTCATATTTTTTATTCGTCACACCCTATATCCATTCATCACGATATTTCTCCCAATAAAACGGTTCAGTTCAAATCCCTCACTATAAATACCCTTTTCCCCCCAAATCATAAACCTTTACAAAACCCTTTTTCTCCGGTGAACCTGCAATTTCTCAGAGCCTTAATACAAACCTGCAAATATGTCGTCTTCCTCAGCCTCAGCACAGTCCGTTAATGTATCCAGCGACAATGAAGTCACTCAGGCCCAAGTTTTAACATCTCACGCCTTATCATTTGTTCAAAATAGGTACGAAAAAGTCGTTCTTGTGAAGAAACCAAACAATTACTACTTCGTCCCTTCTTCTACTGGTTTCCCTGAATTCACCTTCCCCCTTCTAGAAATTCTTCGAAACCATCCCCTGTTTTATGCACTTTCAGCCACCAAACCTACGCCTGAGTCATATATCACCCAATTCCTCCTAAGCTCATACATTACAACCATGGACAACACTGGTTTGAGCATAGTTGGTTACGCCTCTCACCCGATCAACAAATCCTTGGTGCCTATGGAACTGAATGTTGACAAACTTCGAACAGCCCTGCACCTACCCACTTYGGAAACTCTTAATCTGGATGCTTTTGCCCCAACCCCAACAGATGAGGAATTAATTCAATTCCTTGAATTCCATTCTTATGCTGCCAAAATCATTAAAAGGACATAATTCAAACGCAAAGGACTACCCCCAATATGGAATACCCTGTTCTCCATCGTAAACTATTGTCTGACAGGGAAGGTCGGCAGCCATGACCAGACCTCCCACGCAATGCTCTCAATCGTATATGGGATTTATTTCAACCTACCTCTCGAATACGCACAGCTTATATTCGAGGATATGGTTGGATTGATCAAGAAGAAATGTGCGACACAGAGGGGTGAAATGTGTAAGCATCGATTGACTTCAAGAAATATTATTACGACATCGAGGAGTGCTAGAGGACGAGGGACGGAGAGAGAAGAGAGGAGAGAAAATACCTAAAATGTCCTTGCACTAAAATTTTAATTCAAAATTACCAAATTTATAAATTTTCTAATTTATCTATTGATTTATGATTGAGATTAGATCTCACGGTTACCACAAACTAGTCAGTTCTCCCTTGAATGGGCTTCTATATGTATATATATATATATATACACACATACTTGGAATCATGTGAGACAAGCCTGTTTTAGTGAGACACGATTTTTATACTTGAAACTTCATAGCAAAATACTGTGAACATTCGGCTTTTTTTTTTTTTACCTTCACAACATTTTGTTGTGAAGTTTCAAGTGTAAAAAAACGCGTCTCATGAAAACAGCCTTGTCTCATGTGAACCCAACCCTATATATGTATTTTGGAACTTGATTTTATATCTTATAGTCATTTATTTAATTTGTTTTATATCTCTTAGTTTTCATTTTACACTCTTATTTATCTACACTCCTTTATAAAATGACATTTACGGTTATCTTGATATTTTTAAAAGGTATTACCTATCAAGCTTGATGTATATATTTTAAAGCTTCTATATGCCAAATCCAACTATTCTCCTCCCTACTATAATTAACCTTTATTTTTGTACCCTACATACATATTGTCATTATGTATATATGTGTATTATTATAAATGATTATAATTTCGAATTTGACCCTATAGATCAACTTATATAGCTTGAACTTTATATATTATTTTTTCAAGTCGAAACTCAAACTATTTGCTATCGACTTAGCTTGTTTCGGTCCTCTTGGTTAGAAGGCTCGTGTTCCGTCTCTGGAAATTTTATGTATGATATTATACAACAGTAGTTTTTTAATCTTTTTTTCAAGCCATAGCATACCGTTATACAGATTGACGGGACAAGTAATAATCAAACAAAATATAAAAGTTCATATCATATATTATAATTAAAAGTTTTACAAAATAAAATAACAAAACTGTGTTAAAAGTTTTACAAAATAAAATAACAAAACTGTGTTAAATTGACATATAGAAGAGGGCCCATGTGTAAATTAATATTCATAATGATGTAGATTTTTTTATTAATGACAATGGATTAATGTTCATATAAACATTAATATACACATTGGCAGTTAAAAAACATCCACATCTTTATGAATTTTCTCCAATAATACCTTTGTTTGTGTATGTTCATCTTATATTGGCAAGATATTTTTATATATACACATATAGAGAGAGAGGGAGGAAATCTCCCAAAAAAAATGAAAATTTGACGAACATTGTAACCTTTATCTTACCAGACCGCTCAACCGGTCACAATATGCAAGGTTTGGGTTGCATTGGTTTATAGCATCTTCAATAACTTTTTTATAATGTTTTCACAATAGAGAATCAAAACATGATTTTTTTTTTAAAGAATTACGTTCATCTTAAACAGATTCTCTATTTTAGAGATTTAACGTAAATTATATCATTATAATATTATCTAATTTATCATTCCAATAAACTTTTAAAAAAACTTTTTATAAAAAGATAATAACTCAATCTCATTTGTGGAATTGAATAAGATAATAATTTCTCTCTCCTAGCATCAAGTTATAAAGAATTCTCTATATTTAGAGTTTTCTCCATAGTTCTCTATTCTAGAAAACAAAATACAAAGCTCTTGAAACATTTTAGAGAATAAATACTCATTTTTTTTCTATTTTAGAGAAGTTGTTAGAGATGCATTTATACTTTGGATGGAGTTGAAAATTTTTCAAACCGCTATAATTTGGTTAAGTTGCAAAAATGTCCAAAACCATCCAACACAACTCGTGTACATCTCTACAGACAGTGGTAAACATTTAATTTCAATGCCTATTAATAATAAAAAAAAATTAAAATATTATTTCTTTTTTTAAATATTGGTATTTTTCCAAATTTACACCCTCTCTCCTCTTATTTCTTTATTTTAACTCACATTACAGTATACCTTTACCTTTGGAGCGATAAAATCTCAACAAAACAATCAAAATCCCTTATTAGTTATGTTAGCATAATTGTTAGAGTTTCATTTTATTCCGTTACAAAAAACCGACAACAAACTTTAAAATGCCATGTTCCGTATCTATACTATATTATAAAGCATTTGACAAAAACTCTTAAAAACCATTTTTTATGCATGATGTACTGTATATTAATGTATATTACTTAAAATTCAAGATTACAAGTAAATTATGTATAAGTATAACTTATTAAAACTCCATGTTTGAATTCGTGTAACTAACTGCGTATAAACATAATCAAATAAAAAATAAACATCTTATTTTAAATATAAAAAATCCAAAACACAATTAAGATAATCATTGAGTTCTAACAGAATATTTAATTATCATCTTAAATAAATTATTTAATTAAACCAAAAATAAATTAGTTGTTAAATTATAATAAAAAATTGAATTAAAAAAATTACAAACAAGAACTTTTAAATAGTTAATTTGATAATAATAATATTGCTTATTTTTTTCAAAATATTAGAATATCTTCAAACTTATATTTCATTCAAAAATAAAAAACATTTTTTTCCTCAAAACCACATAAAGTCGTATTATAACATCGATAGATCCAAAATATAAAACGAAACAATAAAATCAAAATGTATCTCGCTGTATTACGTGAATACCCTTCTAGTAGATAATAAATGCAGCTCAGATATATAAACACCAAGTTTGAATACAAATAGAATTCGACAAAAAATACAATCTATATAACTCAACTCCATGCATTAAACAAAACGGCTCCAATTCATGTATCTTAAAATGTACATAATAAAAATAATAATAATACTGAATAAAATGCACCCCAACTCAAGACATTCTTCATTCATCGCGTCTTCTTTTACCTTTCTGTTGATTGAGCCTCTGGGATACAGGCTGCAGGCGATCGGGTCTGGGTCACAACGGCTAAGATATCGGCATACCCGACCAACCCCACTAACACATCGTTGTTTTCGGCCTCTGTCACCCAAACATGTGTCGCCCGATGAGACAACATCTGTGCCATGACTGCAGCCAACGAGCTCGTCACTTTACATGTTAACGGCACGCTCCGACCCCGGTACATGCTCCGATTAACACCGAAAGTTTGACTCGAAGGGTTGTTGAAGAAACCAACGCCCCGGCTGCTGAATGTGCGTTGCCTCATCAATCGGCTGCCACCACCACTGCCGCCGTTCGCTAAATTTGCACCGTTTCCGGCTACCAAAAACTCCGGAAGCGACCTCGAAGACACGTTATCCTCGACACCTGTCACGAACTGACCAGCGGAGAGGTTAGCAAGGGCCCACGCAGCAGCTAAATAATCGCATTTCCACAATTTGGAAGCCGAGATTTCGCCAAGAATCTTGTGTTGACCGTCTGGTGTGGGCTCCACGATTGCGAACGCACTCGGTTCGCGAGGAATCTGGCGGGCGGCTTCGATTGCTGGCTCTGATGCTTCTATGGAGCAGTAATTTGGATTAATGGCACCCAGAGATGAGATAGAAGATAGGGGAAGGGGAGCTAAAGCTCCGAGACAACCGATGAGGAAGCGGATTACGTCTTCCCGTGAAAGACAACAGTATTTGTCACGGATGATGGTGGTGGAGGCTGCCACAGAAGTTGAAGATCGGTTAATGTTATTGGGTATCGTGATGTTTGGATTACTGTCGATGTTTTTGAGCCATTTTCCGTTGTAGAGAATCGAGAAGCGTTTGCTCATGCCTCGCCAACCGATGCTTTTTGGAACTAGAAGACGTCTCACACCGTGCTTCATTATCTCTAATGCGTCTATTAATCTAGCATCGGGAAAACATGGTGGTTGATGATATCATTAGAAAATAAAGCCAGCTACGTATGAAAACGTGAGGATCATCCAAAATCAGATAAATTAAACCGTTAATAATGAAATGAAACGTAAATTATACATAAATGAACACACTCATACTCTCTATGTTGCTTAAAATTTACTAGTCCAAGGGGTTGTTCACTGAACACTTATTGCCTAATAGACACCTACCAGAGATCTTTTACCCGATTAACACTTACCTGGAGACACCTAAACCAAGATTTTAAAAAGCAGAATTGGGCCTCAAGGCGTTCCTCTAAAACAAGGCGAAGCATAAGACTCGAGGCAGTCCAAGGCAGCAATATATATATATATACACATATATATATGTCTTGACTACACAAATATATTTATACCAATATGCATTCCATTGCTTATATACAAAAAAGAATATATATATATATATATATATATATATATATACACACACACTTGAGTACTAGACACGCAATACGTATCATACTTAATTACTGATCTACTAATAATATATATATTATATATATATATATATATATTAATATGGTCAAGCTCATAAAAAAAAAATTAAAATATCAACAAAGTGGGAGTAGAAGTGTGACACTAACATATAGTAGAAACTAAATATAAAAGAAGTGCATGAGTATATATGTATGAATAATACTCTATGCATAATACTCTTGGTGAACCGGAGAAGAATCAAAGAAGAAAACGGGAGAAAACTGAACTCACGAAGGGCAATAGACGAGTAGCAGATAGGGCTTAGGAGAACCAGAGAAGAACAAGGTTTTCAAAAAAGAAATTGAGAAGGTTTCAATCATTTTTTAAATAATGTAGCCTCTGTAGTGACGCGTACGCCTCACCACTGCCTCATGCCTCGGTCACCGCCTCAGACAACCAAGGCATATGTCTTGTCCGGGAACTAAGAAGCGCCACTTCAGATGCGATTTTGGACCGCCCCGCCTCGAGGCACATGCCTCACACGCTTTTTAAAACCATGGCTTATACTATGTTATTTGATGACCGAGAATTTTATCCGGTAAGTGAGGGTGGTGACTCTTACCGGGTAAACACTTACCCACTTTTTGCCAGTAATTAAATAGCCCCTAAGTTCTTTCTAGAAATCGTATTTTTTTGTCTAGACCTTTTTGGAGGGGGGGGTCTTCAAAAATTAGGCAACTCCACTCTTTACGGTACATGCATACATCCCACCACCAGGCCGTACCTTCAATTGAGATATACTGGGTTCATTTGGTTTGGTATGTGATTTCCCAAATCTATCCAAGAAATTCATGAAATGCTAATTGTGTATAAAGCAATGCACATATATATTTTATTCCCCCCTCCCTCCCCCCAAAGAAAAGTATGTTAACAAGCACCCGGTTTCTCTAGCTTAGTGTACTAATTAGCAACTTTTATATTAGTCTTAGACAAATAAAACTAAGTCATTTGATTTTATGTTTAATTCCACTTCAACTCCCATTTATTTTGCTACCATTAGAGTTTAGCCAAGTTGAGTTTTGCTATATATGTTTGATTTTGACCCATCAAGCAAATTCTTTCATACCATTTACCTATGCCTACCTCGGTCTCTAGTTATAGGTTTCCACAAAATGATATTTTTAGGAAGAAAAAAAGAACAAGAAAGAACCAGAAAAAAAAAGGTATAACAAACAAGAGGGAACAACAATAAGCACATCAAAGACATCTAGCTACGTTTGGCAAACAAACTGATAAGCTACCTGTTGGATGAAAAGCTAGTTGCTTAGCTGATAAAACTAATTGATAAGCTAGAGGACAATGTAAATGACCTAAAAGGACATGTTGAAAAACTATTGGAAAAATGTAATGGGGTAAAATTGGAAAAAAAAATGAAAAAAGGCCCCCTGATGCTTATTAAAACGCCACTTAAGTAGCATTCCAAAAATTCAAAATAAGCTATCTTATGGCTGCCCAACTGAATCAATACACCAAATGTTAGCTTTGCCATGGTGCAAGGATGGCATGCCCAAAACAAGAGATGGTTCAATCTTTCTAAGAGAAGGCAAGTAAGTACTTAAACCCATGACCCCCAAACATACTACCTCTTCAAGGATGGAACCAAATACGGCTAAGCTAAATGTTCGACGGGGAATAGAGTATAGGAAGACGTGAATCTTAAGCATCATAAAGAGAAAACCTTAGTTGATAAAAGCCACATATCGAAACACCATCAAAAAAACATCCACTAATAAACACAGAGATGATAAAAGGGACATGGACGCCGATCTTCTTTAAATGGACACAAATGAATCTAAGAGAACACATAGATGAAGATATGAACCAACACAAATACTAAAAGACATAACAATACATATTTAACGCTCACACAAGCCAATCCAATCCAACCACTATAGTGTCTTTTAAGCATTTCTGGCTTTTTTAGAGGATAGAAAAGGGATTAGTATCCAAAAGTAATTTAGTTCCCATATTTTTTACAAGAAAATCCTACATTTATCCCTAAATAATGATCAAGAACTTTAGTATGACTGTATGAGTGGACCAAAGAGCCTTTGGCCTCCCTGGTGGCTGGAGGTCAAGGGTTCAATCCTCAACAAAGGCGAGGAGGATGTGTGAGTTTATTTGTTACATTTACCCGTATATAAATATTATATACTTCAAAATTTTAGTATCGGTGAATTAACGGCATTGGTCATGAATACAGTACCTCTGTCCCAGAAAATGGTCTACATTTGCCTTTTTTGAGTGCTGAATGACTTGCTATAATCTTCGAAATAAACAAGAATCATTTTCTTTACATCAGCATCAACAAGACCTTTATCCCAAAAGCTAAAAGAATCCATATCTTAATTTGAAAAGAAATAGATTCAAATATGTCGAATCAAAAGCAAACCCTTTTCTTAATAGAGCTAGCTAAAGTCATATCTACAATACAACTATCCTATATCAAACATCAAGATCCGTATCTTGATCACTTCAAATGCAAGGCATTATTCTTCCAAAATCTCAAATCTGATGCTCCAAAAAGCAAAACAAAAACCTACCCAAAATCAATTACTAAGGGGCCGTTTACCCAAATGCTTACCTGGTAAGCCTTACCGATAGAAACCAACATTATAACTTATTCTGATGCGTAAGATTTTAGTACATGAAAACGTATCGAATGCAACAGTTTACCGGGTAAGCGCTCACTTGGGTAAGAGTCATCATCCTCACTTACCAGGTTAAGACCTTCCATCCTTCCCATCGCTCTTACCCGGTAAGATTCTTGGCCCTTGCCATGTTCATCGGATGAGGAAATTTATCCGATAAGCACTTACCAAGTAAGCAATTAGTAATCGTCCCCTACTATAGAAACAAATATCTAAACAAGTTCATACTAATACGGCATGGCGAAAGAAGGCATTAGCAGTCGACAGATGGTATAACCACAATATCAAGAAAACACATCAAAAAATATAATGTTTTTGAATGACTCAATGATATAGAAAATGGCTTATAATGTAAGTTTCCTACTTTATGCAAGAAGCAAAGTTTTTTCATGTTCCTCCCAATTAAATAACAAGCTACTTCCATCTATGGAAAAACCCTTTCTCATCTATATAGACGAATTAATCTACATCTTTATCCGTAAAGGATTTGATGGAAAACCAACCAAACAACCTGATGTTTTAAGATCATATTCCTTGATGTAATCTGATACCATACAAAGAGGATGAAATGAAAGCTAACCTTGTGCCAGGATCAACTTCCTTGAGCAAAGTAGCATCAGGAACAACAACATCAGAAACAGTTGTCTTCAGAGCTTTCTCCTGATCGTTCAAACATTCATCTCTCGCCAAGAAAGCAACAATATCAAGTGGATTTAGGATACCCACAAATCTCTGATGCCTCGTTTCTGCGTTTTCAATCAAACCCTTCTGCACCGACTTCCTCTTCCAAATCGCTATCCCGCACTCCGTCGACTCTCCGATTGCCTTAATCGCAGCCTCCACCGTCTCATTCTCGGTGAACTCAACCAGCTCCGGTTTCCCCACCGTTAGATCACCCACCACGTGATACAAAAATACAGATGCCATTTTAGTTGATTTAATCGATGGGTTTCGGAGATTGATTTATGGGGGCGGAGATTCCTCAATCCTTTACAATCCCCGAAACTGATTGACTTATCGGTGATCTTCAAGACTGTTGAATGAATGATCGGTTGATTACTGATGGTAAGCCAACAAGCTACACTTGTAGAAATCAATCGATTTAGGGTGAAAATCAAACTTGTAGAACAAGAACCCCACTCCGATTTGGAGATTTTTGATGGTTTGTAACTAAATTGAAGAGTTATAAAAGGGTATGCAGAAAGATTAAAAGGAGATGGAAACGAGTGATGGGTAATTTGAGAAGTGGCTTCAAAGAAGACGAAATGAAGTGAGTGTAAGAGAATGAATTGGCCATGGAGCAGCACAAGTGCAATGAAGAAGAAAGCCCATGAAAAGCATGAATTAGTACTACAATCGGTGGATTTTTTTGCTTCCGGGAATGATAAGGTTTGGGATTTCAAGATTGATAAGAGTTGTGAGTGTTAATGATAGAATTATTGGGTCTTTGGAATTGGATAGGACCATGGCCAAGACAGCTTCAAGATCCAAAATTGAAATTGGCTACCAATCATGCGCTATCAAACAAATTATAATGGCCAACTTTAGTGAACTTATGTAGCATCTCGTAATTGGATTTCCATGATTCCAGCTTCAAGTAATTTGTGAAGTTTTCATATAAATATTGTGCATCCAATGGTTTTAATGATTAATAATTTTCTTGGATAAATTATTAATAAAAAATACCCAAATTGAATGGATTTACGCCTTTTTTTTATTATATAGACTAATCAGTCAGGACTTGGATCGGTGGCCGACAATGGTGAGTGAAGTAGTGTTTGAACTTTGGCTAAGCTCCAACTACATTAATTAATATATGAAACAGTCATTATCTATTGATGTTATATTACTTCTTTTGTTCATTTTATTTTTAGTCTTTATTTTCTCTATCTTAACATTTTTGTCTGTTCTTATTTTATTTATAATTTTGAAGCTAAGATATTGATTCGATTGAGTCTTTTACTATTTTTGGCGTTAATTTTTGAAATATGTTGTCATTGATACCGCAGTTCATGTAGCAACAGTGAATTGATCTCATAATTATGAAACATTTAATGAATACAGGTTTTTGATGGGATTATACCCCATAAACGTTAGTTGGGGGAAATGAAGAAAAGATAATAAATGCTAGCCATTGTGTACCTATTATTAAAATATAAGGAACGCCTTTACTTTTATAGTTATACCATGGTCAATGTCCCTTGAACATTTATTGAACTACCCCTTTTGTAGCTTATCTTTCCTTTCCTTTTTATAATTTGGTAGAGTTTCCTTTCTTCTATCATTTAGGTCAAAGTCAATTAATAAATGTTTTTCCATTAATTTATGTCCTATAAATTTATCTTTTATAACTTTTTTCAACATTGTTTTCAAATTTTGTTTTTCTAAATTTATGTTTTATAATAACTATTGTAACAACCCACATATTCTATGTACTGATAATCTACATCATCATACTCATAACACAAAATATAACATCGTTTACAAAATACAGATTAACAAAATACTTTCTTCATATACATTTTTAAATAACTAAACGTCATTCATTCTAAACTTTTCCCTTGTCTTTATCTTTCTCGGTATGATGACCTGCAAAACAGGTTAGTCCAACAACTGAGCGTTAGACCAAAAAGGTCTAGTGAGTGTATATTTCTCAAACAAACAATATACTTTCTAAACAATCAGTTCAGAATCAAACTTGTTCTGACACATAAATTTATTTATGTCTCTCGCGGTTACACCGCCATTATATCTCTCTCGCGGTTGCACCGCCATTACATCTCTCTCTCTCGCGGTTACACCGCCATTTCATCTCTCTCGCGATTACACCGCCATTACATCATTCTCTCGAGGTTACACCGCCATTACATCTCTCTCTCGCGGTTACACCGCCATT